TGTACATAAACTATTGCAGGTTTTTATTTGTATTATATCATTGACAGTTCACAAAAGTATTGCAGGGCTTTATAACACTACAGCTACAGATAGATTTAAAAGGTTCTTATTTTTATTTTCTGATTTAGACACATTTGAGCTTTTAATAGTTTCAGTTATAATGTATTTTTGTCTGAATTAATATTCAGAAATCATTTTTTAAAATTCAGTGTAAGTTTGAAAGTGAGAAAATCTTACAGCCTACTAGTTTCAGCTCTTTCCTTTAATATTACTAATTCAAAACAAATGGAGGAAAAATATATTACTTTTTATTATTTGACACTGTAAAACATCCTAAAGCCCTTTAATGGATTTTTCTCCTGTGTCTGTATGTGCTGCATACAGACAACTTTTCTTTATAAATTTTTGTATAGTTTCAATGGAGAAATCAATACCTACCTAGGTGAAGCACATTTTTTTTTTATTCCTGTCCTCTAAAAGAGACATGTTAATGTTCTGTCTTCCTAATGTCCATAGGAGATTGTCACACTTATAATGTACTTTGAAACAAAATTTCAGGGCCAGATGGTGGTCCTGTGACAAGGTAATGTGCTAGCACTAATCAATATAGCACTTGAACTCTGAACTTCCTTCAATTCCAGTAGAAAATACTGTGGAAAGAAGATGTTTGGCTCAGAAGGAAAAGAAGCAAATGTTACAGTGCTCCCAGCAGGCTCTTTCTGACCATTTGACAATGATATTACAGCAAGGACTAGCCCATTCTCCCTGACTTGAAAAATGAAAGAAGACAGTTCAAGAATAAGACACTATTGCCTCCAAGCAAGAAAAAACGTCATATAAAAGAAAGACTTGAAGGGCATCCCAGTGTGTAAACACCACCTACCTCATTCTGATAACCCTTCCTAATTCATCCATGATAATACACTATGAATTTTATTATTAAATAATGGCTCTGCTTCCTTGAGTGCCCATGCTGACTTTAAACAAACTTGTAACCTTCACTGGCAAACATATGAGAATCTCATTCTGACGGAATCTGCAAATTCCAACAGGCTTCAAGTTGAACACAAAGTATCTTGTTGAAAGCGCCATTAAACAGGAACATTAACCTAGAAGAATATGTACAAAATTGTAACAGTTGAAAAATTAGATTTGATTGATTGTGTGTCTACATAGGGAATTTCAGTGACTTAACAGTATTACTATTTACATATTTCTGCATTTTATTGTCAAGCAAGAATAGCAGAGCAGCATGTATTTCTTCACTTAAGTGCATGGCAAAGTAATTCAGTTCTAATTTTTTCATTCAAAACACATTTTAAAGTTGCATCTGCAGTCTTCTGAGTTTACAAAACTGTGAGATTTTCAATAATATTTTATTTCATATACGCTGAACATCAGCTATCATATGATGCAACCAAATAGGTTGTCACTGATTTTGAGGGAAGTGTTATAACTTCATGCAAGTATTATAACCTCATACTTCTACTCAGATTTATCATCAAATCGCACTTGCTATGATTAATTTGTTTTATATTCTATCTAATATAAATTGTCTTTCATAAATAAATTAATTAATTAAATGGAAATGGATATTGTGCAAGAGCATTATTAATTTAAAAATGTTATTTGCATAACCAATAAAAAAAAGTATATTATAATATAGACACAAGCTACAAATATAGACAATGCCTATTTAGAATAATTCTGCTCTGGATATAACTTAGGAGACAGGATAGTAATGCTCTATTTCAGATTTTGTGCACTAGAATAGTTTTCTGCGATCCCTTACTAATTTTATTGAGGGTTTCAGAGGTGCAAAAATCAAAGAATTTACTGCAAGTTTAACTGCAACACAGTGCTCCAACACAGAACACTCCATCTAAAAAGCACAGACAAATTTGAGTTAATTTGGCAATGATAAGGCCTTTTAAGAACTGGCATTAGAAATTTAGTGGAACACTAAAGAAAGCAACCAATACAAATAAAGATGCAGTGCTGGCTCGGATTAAAACCCTTTCCTATGAAAGTGTGATCTGAAGTCTTGTCTCTAACCCCACATCCTGGCACATGAGTCTTCAAATAGGAAGGTCTCTCGTAGGCTCTGATCCTCTGTTTCCTTAAGGAACACAGAGCTCTTGGGTTTGTTTCAATCATTTTGTTTTTTTCAGGCAAGAACTGTCATGGCCTCTTTGGGCTCTGATTTTAATGCCATGCAAAGAACAACAAAATACAATTTGCTACAACTGGGAAGAATACAGCTGCTACATCCCCTCTATGCCAGGAATAGACCATAACACATCTAGATCACTGGACAGCTTTGAGCTAAGCACATATTTTTGACATAGAGAGGCAAAAAATATACTGGTGTCAAACTAATCACATGACAACCTTGTAAACTAACATTGCTGCTTTTGCTAGGAAAGACATGAGCAATAAAACCTACCTTAATGGTTACTTATTAATTAAAAGAAGAACAGTGTAAAAACTGCAATATGAACACAACTTTATTGCTCCATTATAAAAAAAAATGTTCTGTAATTGCAATCTCCAACATTAAATGACTGAAATGAAATCAGCATGTTATTGAAGTGTTTATATATATATACACTTTATATATATATTTACACTTTATATATATTATATATATACACTTTATATATATATTTACACTTTATTTATATATTTATATAAGTATTTATTATATATATAAATATATAAATATATACTTTATATATATATATATATATATATATATAAATATATATATATATAAGTGTTTGTATATATACACCACCGTTGTAATAATGACAATAGTGATAACCTGAGCATAAAAACATTGAGAGGCAAAAAGTCTATGTTCTAGTTCCTAAAGGAGACAGAACAATAAATTATTTGAGATACCAAGGGCTAAAACCTAATGAGATAGAACCTAGAGAAACCTGGGAAATTGTGCATTGTACTATATTAAGAAAATATTCAATTTATCTGCTGTTTAAATCATGTTAGATGAACTGGTCAGATTTGAACCAAGATTTTCTGAGACCAAATGGCTGCCTATTGTTAAATGAATTTTAAATTATTCGTATTCATTAAAAAAAAAAATTAAATGGAAAATCTGGGGTTTAAGGCTCTTACAAACATTTCACAAAGGAAACACTGCTCTAAGTCCTCAAGAACACCAGGAAGATCTGCAGCTCTAGCTCCACATTACTAAAGGTTTTGCTATTTCTCCCTCTCCTTTTAGTATCACCCTATCATCCAAGAATGAGGGGATGTATCAGTGAATCTGTCGTAAATCCAGCCATGTCTTGGGGTGCACCAGACACAGCTGGGCAAGGGAAGGGATTCTCCTACTTTGCTCAGCATTCCTCTGGCCTAGAGGAATTGTGGCTTTCAGGGGAATGACGCCTTAGGATTTTAGCTTTTAAATTTTTCAAATTCTGTAGTGCTTTGATGTATAACTCTAAAACTTTATATAGAGTGTTAGCTACTGTCTTCAGATTTGGGTCAGAGAAAACAATTCCCCTAGGCCTGAAGCTGAAGGACACCTTACTGTCTCAGGCCCTGAAAGTACCAAGAAACCAAAGTGAGTTGGGGGTGGGAGCAAACCAGGGGTATATGACTTCATTACCTGAAGATGTAATTGGAGGATTAACCCCTGATATGTAAACAGACAAAACACATCTGTGTGAAAAACAGATCCTGACCAGTATCCATCCTGGGTGTAGCCTCTTGGAGGCTTCTGAGGCCCTAGGTACACCTTTCGAAGGCCTTCAATAAATACTTGCTTTTACTCTCCTAATCTAGTCTAGCCTCTTTTCCAGGTAGCCACTCCAAGGCATCATGCACTGGCCAGCTTCACCTCAAGTCCTGTGTGTGGTTTTGGCCACCATAATACAAAAAGGACAGAAAGGTATTAGAAAGCATACAAAGAAGAAATGGGACAGGCCTTGAGGGGAAGCCATATGAGGAGCAGCTGAGGTCACCTGGTCTCTTCAGCCTGGAGGAGACTGAGGGGAGACCTCACTGCAGTTACAACCTCCTTGAGAGAGGAAGAAGAGGGGCAGGCACGGACCTCTTCTCTCTGTGACCTGTGACAGGGCCCAAGGGAATGGCATGAAGCTGTATCACAGGAGCTTTAGGCTGAATATTAGGAAAAGGTTTTTCACCTTTTTCAGAGGGTGCTTGGGTGTTGGAACAGGCTCACCAGGGAAGTGGTCACAGCATCATATCTGCCAGAATTCAAGAAGTTTTTGACAGAACATGGAGTGATTGTTGTGTTGGTTCTGTGCAGGCCCGGGAGTGGTGTTCCTCCCAACTCAGGATATTTTATGATTCTATGGAACAAGTTTTGGCTAACATTTATTTCTGATGAGAACTAGTGGAAAAGGAAACCTATTCCCTCTCATCTCGTTTTTCTCCACTGAGTATCTTTCTACTGTCTCTAAGGCATAGGCAAGGAATGAAGGGGTTTGTATGCCTGGGTAACACTATCTCTTTGCACAAGTTTCCTTCCTCAACAGAGGATGGAAGATGTTTCAGATGATCAGGATGACAGTGCAAAAAATGATGCCTTCTGTTATGCATCCACTATTACAGCTCACACATGCATTCATAATTTTTATGGGAAGACACTAGATCTTAAAATTGGTGTTTTGAGGTACTTCAATATAACATGTATCAGTTTAAATAGTCTACATATTGCACAGACGTTTATAGCTCACTACCCAGATATTAATATGTGTCAATCTGTATTATTTCCAAAAGGAATTTAATTAATGATAAAGAACTGTACTTCAATACCTTAAAAATACTGTTTGCACTCTAATATTCAAGACAGAAAAATTATGCAAGAAATAATTAACTGCTATTTCATTCCTATGCTCTCACTCTCTAAATATATAAGGGTTATGACACTCAGTGCAAACCTGCAGTTGCGTAAATGCTATCAAAACTACTACAGTTTGCTTAATTCACAGAATTATTTTTTAGCTTACCCAAATCTGTAGCTTAATTCTTTTTTCATTTTTGAAAACCGTTTTTACTTTGAAATCGATCCCAACCGTGCTGACAAATGCAGATGTAAAGGAATCATCAGCGTATCGGAACAAAAAGGAGGTTTTTCCAACACTGCTGTTGCCGATAATGAGCAGTTTGAACATGTAGTCAAAGTTCTGGTCAGATGTATCTTTCTGGCCATATCTGGAATCTTGAACAGATGCCATCTGTAATTCAAAATAAAAAAGAAATATCTTATTGTCCCTTTTATAATAAAAAATGGAAACATTTCAATTTTATTGGAGTTTTTTTGTACCAGGTATCAATGAAGCTCAAGAAGAATATCTTCTTGAAAGACTTGTCATGTGTATGCTTCAATGTGAACTTCAGGAAATGCACAGAGATCTAATTATTTTTTGTGATTCTTGTATCTAGTAGTAGTTCTGCTAGCAATAGAGGATTTAAAAATGACTGGTGACGGGTAAAAAAACAAAAATAATATGAATTCTAAAAGTCTGGGACAATTCTTAGTATATTACTAAAAATACTTGTTTTCAGAAAATGTGATGAATTGATGGTGAAAATACAATGACACTTCATTTGTATAAGAGAGAAATAAGATATCAATGCTTCCATTTGACACAGTAGGTATATTTTCAAACAGAAGCTTAGCAATTTTTACATCTAATAAAATTCTTGAACCATTTATTTTACTGTAAGTATGTTGCTATCTTTTGCCATCCCTAAAAATTTATTCAAAGTATTTCTCCTCCTTCAGCAGCTTTTAGTTATCATACCATTAAATAGTGAGTATATACACCTCTGAAATAAAGTCTTGATATTTTTTGAGTACTAATATATTCTGTAGTTATTTGAATTTGCAATATTAATGCAACATCATCATAAGTGGCAGTTAGATTAATCAAATATTAAGGTTTGGAAGGGATTTTAAAGATCATCTAGTCCCAATCCTGCTGCCAGGAACACTTCCCACTAGACAAGGTTGTTCTAGACCTTGTCTAATTTGGCTTTGAACCAGACTGGAGCATCCACTACCTCTCTGGGCAACCTGTGCCAGTATCTCACTACTCTCACAGTAAATAATTTTTCCTAATATCTAACCTAAATTTCCCCTCCTTCAGAGTGTACCCATTCCTCCTTGCCCTGGCACTCCAGTTCCTGTCAGAGAATCCCTCTCCAGCTTCCCTGTAGGCCCCCTCAGGTACTGGAAGGTGTCTGTGAGGTCCCCACACAACCCTCTCTTCCCCAGGCTGAACAGCCCCAGCTTGCTCAGCCCATCCTCATAGCAGGGGTGCTCCAGCCCTCTCACCAACCTCCTGGCCCTCCTCTGGACTTGTTTTAACAACTCCTTGTCATTGTGCTGGGAACACCAGAGCTGGATGCAGTGCTCCAGGTGGGGTCTCAGCAGAGCAGAGCAGAGGGGTAGAACCCTTCTCTCAATCTGCTGGCCAATGCTGCTTTGGATGCAGCCCAGGATTTCCTTGGTTTTCTGGGCTGGGAGCACTCACTGCTGGCTCATGGTGAGTTTTTCATCAGCCACCACCCCCAAGTCCTTCCCCACAGGGCTGCTCTCAATCAATTCTCTGCCCAACCTGTGGGTGTGCTTGGGATTGCCATGAACCAGGTGTAAGACTTTGTATTTGGCCTTGTTGAGGTTTGCAGTGGCCCATCTCCCAACTGTGTCAAGGTCCTGCTGGATGACATCAACATTTGAAATCTGAGTCCTTAAAATACAGTTTTTAATCCATATAAAACACCTGAATAAGCACAGATTACTGAATACTGTAAAGAGCAACTTATTTTGCTCTAGGGACTTCAAAGATCATGGATTCTATTTCTAAAAAGTATACCTTAGGCTTTCATGAAAATTAGATTAGAGTGAAAATGTGACCCAAGTTCTACCTAGGTTGCTCAAAAAGAAATGGCAAAAATAAAGAGCTTAGAGTGTTTCAGCTGAGTTTTCAAGAAAAATTATCAAGTATTTTGAGAGTCTGTGGAAGTTCTTTGATTGAACAACACTTTTGCATGCTGATTTGAGACAGAACGACAGACACCATAACCTAACATAAAGGCTTACAGAAAAGCAGCTCATGTAAAAGCTTTCTAATTTAGGCATCTCAGAATGCATTTGGGCAATCAGAAAGGACAACTGGAACCAGGATGACAGCTGTGCACTAACCACACTCTCAGCAAAATTTTAGTTACTGTATAATATTTTAGATAATTCTGCTATCTCAAAGCATCAAAACTACGATGCCAGCTTCTTTGGGCTACTGAAGAGGCATACAGGAATGGAGACCAAAATCTCTGAAGAAGACATTGGAAGTAGCAATGAATTTTCTATTAAAGTTTTTAATAGAAAATACGGTTTCAGATATATATATTTCATAAATAATAGAGTAGGAAGTATTTTATTTCAGAATTCTATTTCAGCATTACCTTCTTCATTAAATGTAGTATTGGGTACCTACACGCTTCAACCTGAGTGTTTGCATTGGCCTTAAAATTTATTCATTTCTTCCACAGCTATGCAACAAAGATTTAGAATTAAAACCTGAATATTGTCAAGCATACACATTACTAATCTTTCAGCTTGATTATTTCTATAGAAAGAGAGAATATTGTCAAGCATACACATTACTAATCTTTCAGCTTGATTATTTCTATAGAAAGAGAGAAACTTTCATTACTGTCCTGTATTGTGTAACTATTTGGAGATATTTTGCTTAGAACACAAGAAAAAGGAAATCAAATATTGATCAAATGAGTCTACTCACAAATTGCTGTAAAGCAGCATAACACAGGGCATGCTGATGTTACATAGAGTTTGCAACAAGTCAATGAGTTCTATCAGACCAAAGACTGCAGTGGCTGTGGGTTCCAGATGTGTGACCACTACAGCAGGCTTTTCCACTGCCCTTATGGCTCTCCTCTCTTGTGCTGCAGCTGAAAGCAGTAGTTACCCCTTGTATCAAGGAGGAATATCATATTCTTTCCTGAATCTCCTAGGAAGCCTTTCACATCTTTCCACATCTCCTAGGAAGCCTTTCACATAGCTTCTTCAACCAGCTTAAGATTCACAAAAAGAGGTTTAAGCTTTCATCCATTTGCTGCCCTGAATCCTATGAAGCTTCCAACTCATCCCCACGTACTTTAATGCCTAACACTTCAGAAACAGTATGATTCAGTGAGCAGGGAAATCAGGAGACCTGGATTCTAATAATAGTCTTGCTAAACCATGTACATTGTGTAGACTTCCTGAGTACTAATGTATTTCCTGTGGATAGTTTTAAATACAGATTTTACCCACAGGAATTTCAATACCCCTCTAAATTAGTGTGGTTACATGCATTACTCATTCAGCAGTTTCCTTAACATTTCTGAAAAAAAAAATTAAAAACTCAACACTTTCACTGTGCCGTAAACTTACAGAGTCGTTACTTGCAGTATCATAGACAGAATTACAGGCATGTTGAACATAGAATTCAAGCTATTTTTATTTCAGTGGCAGGAGTATGTCCACTTATTACAGGACACAAAAGGTATAAGAAAGGCATAGGAAAGGACTAATTTCTCCGAGAGGATTAGTGAGGTCATAATTGAAATTGTTCAGAGAGACTGACTTTAGTCTAGTGAACCAGTCTCCCTAGACTACTGACAGTGGTCCTTTCTCCTGTCCAAAACCCCAATGAGCCTGCACTAGTGTAAAGAAACATCAAACTCTGTGTAGTTGCTAAAACTTTGCCATTACTTCCCAAACTCACTCATTCTGTAGTAAGCAAACAAGACAAATTCCTCCAAGCACAATCAACATTATGCTCACAATCTAAATGATATGCTAAAGAAATACATCTGTATTTCTGCTGACTGTAAGGGAAATACAGATGCTTGGTCCTCTTGAACTTTTTGAATAAGCCTGTAGCGCTTCTCTTTCTTAAATGCAAGCTGTTGACTTAAAAATTAAGTATGCAATGCACTGTAATCCACTTCCCAAGGTAATAATATGACAGTTCACTCCTGACAGTACTTTTCCCTACTATTGGAGGTATATGTAAAATATGAAGAAGATTGTGATGATGCTATGGTTCCACCTTTGGAAGTTATGCTGGAAGCAATCACTAGGAATGCTGTGTTACCACGTATAATTAAACATTACATACATGGATGAGAACCAAATAAACCTCGCTAATGTTACAATATTCTGTTTTCAATAAGGTAAAATGCATACCTTTATGTTGACCAAGTTCTTTTCCCAAAGGTTAAATGTATATATTAAACAAGAATCACTTTCAACAAAACACGCTGAGTTTTCTCTTCAGTACAATTTTGCCCTTATTTGGTAAAATTGAAGAGAAAATGCAAATTATTTTGATTAGCACCAAAAGCAGTCAAACCATTTCCTACAGGACTTCGGACAGACTTGAGAGTCAACTGAGAAGTCTAAGCTCAAGACAATGAACAGAAAACCGATAGACAGGAGATCTCAGATGCTTGCTCCTTATCAAAGCCAGAAGCAGTTATGTTGCCAGTTTGAATATAGTGCAAGGACAAATAAAGGATAGCTTTGTATGCTTTCCTGCTTACAGCACATCTCTAAACTCGTTAAACATAGATTATTTAAGGGCATAAGCAAGTCCAATCATTAAGAAGCGTTTTCTGTTCAGACCCAGGTGCTTTCCAAGTCTCATGTTTAGCTGTTTCCTTGATCCCAAAAGAAGAGGTGAAAACAGAGCAGGATTGAGAACAAATGACAGAAAAACTGTGTTTACCTGCCACCTTCATGATTATAACAAAACATTTGGCTATGCGACTCTTTATGCCTTGGCAGGCCTCATTCTCTGGGAGAATCAATTTGAACAGATTTCTTACTTGAGCACCGCAGGATGCTGTGGCATTCCTGGCCTGCACACAACTTTAGTTTGCACTTACATATGCACTCCACTATGCATGCTTAGTATAGGATGATTGGCCCCTGGAAAATATGGTGCAAAAGGCAAAAAAGCCTGACATTGAAAACATTGAGATTTATTCCTTCACGCCTTTAGCAAATAAGCTGGTTCCTTTTAAAAGCTCTAATAACAGTCATATCTTAAAGGAAAAGATCATTAGGAAGTCCAGAGGAAATATCTTCCTCCTATGCACAGTGAGGATAGAGACTGATTAGCGAACTTAAAGTTGTTTAAAAGTGCAACACTCTCTTTCTGTC